CCTACAGGACAGAGTAGAACTGCCCCATAGAGTTTCCAGGGAGTGCCTGGTGGATTCAAACTGCTGACCTTTTGGTTAGCAGCCATAGCTCTTAACCACTACACCACCAGGGTTTCCAAAATCACTGTAAGAGGACCAAAAATAAGGAGCAGAATAAGGTTTCTTCAGCCAGTGAAAGGATGTCAGAAATATATGCCCACAAAGTAGATGAAACTATAACCTAATATTTAAAATAAGCTAAAATTAATAAAATCATTAAAGAGTGAACGATTTAAATCAAAAGCAGAGAAGTTCTTGTATTTCTGTCATTGCAATCCCCAAAGAAGAAAACCAAAGCAATGGAAGAAAATGAATACAAAGGATTCTAATTCAAGATAAGATTCCTGAAATTAAAAAAAAAACAACAACAAAAACTCTATATTAAAAGAGTATGCCACAAATCTGAATAACTCAGCCCAGAATGATCAACACTGAGATGTGTTCTTGTAAAACACACCTTTAAAGACTTTAAAGAAAATTCCCTTGCCCGCATTTACGCCAAAAACAGCAAGTCACTTATTTGGAAAAGAAAACCAGATTGTCATCAGATTTTCTGACAATCACATTTTATATTAAGAGAAAATTGAGTAATATATTTAAGATAATCAAGGGAAATAGCCAAAGTGACTTTCAAGTATGAGCCCATGGGCAAACTGTTACAAATATGTAATAACTCAAGGAATATTATTCCCATGAGCCCATCCTGAAGTATATACTGAAGAAAAACTTTCAGTCAATCAAAATGACTGAAAATATCTTACCATCCAACTGATGGTAAGCATTAAATATATACATTTAGATAAACTTCTTGAATGCTGTAGAGTTATTAACAGGTAGTAAAAGAATATTTCAAGTCAGTAGTTAGGAGTGAGGTGGGGAGGGAAAATTAGCTAGCTAGATTGCTAATTAAAATCGGTATTGCTAAGAGTAGAGAACCAGTAAAACCAAACCAAACCCATTGCTGTCAAGTTGATTCCAACTCATAGTGACCCTGCAGGACAGCGTAGAATTGCCCCATAGGGTTTCTGAGGCTGTAAATCTTTGTGGAGGCTGACTGCCACATCTTTCTCCTGTGAATTGGCTGGTGGGTTCAAATCGCCTGTCTTTCAGTTAGCAGCTGAGCACTTAACTACTGAGCCCCCAGGGCTGCTAGAGAACCAACAGACAAACCAAAATAAGACAAAGGACTAAGATTATTATATAACAGTATAAATATTAATAATACTAGAGCAAAAATACAAACACTCCTAAATGCCAAAAAATTAAAAAGAAAAAGCACATAAAATGAACCACAGAATGAAAGGTTACATAAAAATCATATATAATTGTATACATATTATTATTTTATACTAATGTATTTATCTTATATTAAAATAATATTTGCAATAATATAATATGTAAGTATATTAATTATGTTAATATATTAGATATATTAACGCATTGTGGTTGTTGTTGGATGCCATTGAGTCACTTCCGACTCATAGTGACCCTATGTACAACAGAATGAAACACTGCCCACTCTTGCACCATCCTCACAATTATTGCTATGTTTGAGCCCATTGTTGCAGCCACTGTGTCAGTCCATCTCGTTAAGGGTCTTCCTCCCTTTCAATGACCCTCTACTTTACCAAGCTTGATATCCTTCTCCAGGGACTGGTCCCTCCTGATAACATGTCCAAAGTACGTGAGGTGAGGTCTTGCTGTTCTTGCTTCTAAGGAGCATTCTGGCTGTACTTCTTCCAAGACAGATTTGTTCATTCTTCTGGCAGTCCGTGGACTATTCAATATTCTTCACCAACACCACAATTCAAAGGCATCAATTCATCTTCAGTCTTCCTTATTCATTGTCCTGCTTTTACATGCATATGAGGTGATTGAAAATACCATGGCTTGGGTCAGGCTCAGGCACACGTTAGTCCTCAAAGTGACATCTTTTCTTTTTAACACTTTCAAGACGTCTTTTGCAGCAGATTTGCCCAGTGCAACAAGTCAGTGTTCCATGGCTATGCATAAGGTGTCCACTGGCCAGTTTTTTTAGAAGTAGATTGCCAGGTCCTTCTTCCTAGTCTGTCTTAGTCTGGAAGCTCTGCTGAAACCTGTCTACCATGGATGACCCTGCTGGAAATTGAAATACTGGTAGTGGCATAGCTTCCATCATCACAGCAACATGCAAGCCACCACAGTACAGCAAACTGACAGACAAGTGGTGGATTAATACATTAATACATATTAATTGTAATTTATAATAAAGATCTTTTTTCCAAGAAATGGGGAGATATGAGTATGTGTATATGTCCCCTTATATTTTTTTTAAATTAAGAGTTAAACCATAAGTTGTTTTTTTTTTAATTTATCTATAATAGAGTGAAAGGAGTAGAGATAGAAGCTAGGTTTATTTGAATATACTCTGTAGGTTTTACTTGGAAACTATATAAATATTTCAATTTTAAAACAAATTTAAATTAAAAAGTCATCTCTGTAAATCAAAACTAAAAAAAAAAAAAAGTCAGATGAACCTGAATGTGTGTCTAGTTGGTGGCATAACAAAATGAAGAGAAGCTATTCCAAGTGACTTGGAAACACAATAATTTGACAGCAAATTCCTAGTGGAATATACCTTAAGGACAATAAAAAAAGAAATTGAAAAAAATGCAATCTCTTCAGCAATTAAATTAGTAGTGATAGTGTCGATATTGTTCTTCTGAGATAGTCACTGTATGTGTATTGTGAGATAAAAGAAGCCCATGTGGTGCAGTGGTTAAAGCACTCGGCTGCTAACCAAAGGGTCATCAGTTGGAACATACCAGCCACTCTGCAGTAGAAAGATGTGGCAGTCTGCCTCCATAAAGATTACAGTGTAGGAAACCCTATGGGACAGTTCTACTCTGTCTTATAGGGTCACTATGAGTCAAAATTGACTCAATGGCAACAGGAAAAACAGGAATTATGAGATTAAGAAAACGAGACTATACATGATAATGTAACACTATCATTGAAAACTAGGATATTTTATAGGAAAGAAAGGAAATAGAAATGGCAGATAGAATGAGAGACAATATATGAGTGAAGAAACCATGATCCTGATTTTGTAAATCAAGTCAGTATGACCTCATGATGTAGTTTATTTAAAAAATAAATATGTAATGGGTTCCCTAGCTATTTCCCCTAAAAAGGCCTAAAAGAGTGACCAACTCAGTAGCAACGAGCACCCTGAGCACCCAATACTATTTCCCACTAATTGGGAACAACCTCCCTTAGAGAAATGGCTGATTCCAGGTCTGAGGCCAACAAATGTGTAAGATAAGACTGAAATATCTTCTTCTACAAAATAGAAAAGGAGCTATCAAATACTTCAAAAGCCACCTTGAATAGGCTACCACTGGCCCAAAATGGGACATTTTGCACATCAGTAAGAAACAGAGCTAGAGCAGTTTGAAACATTGAATATGTTTAAATCCATTAGCTCAAAATATACAAAAAGCAAGCAAGCAAACAAACAAAAACACTAATTGGTGACTGTTGGAAGATGTTGGTAAACCAAATCATTATTTTGAAAGCTGGCTAGTATAAGAAAAGAATCAAGCTTTATTTATCCTGCCTTCCTCTGGGAACTGTATCATTAGAAATTTTCCAGCTAATAAAGAAGGAATGATAGACTTAGAAATTACCAATTTTAAACCTCTAATGATTTAATGAATCTAGGTATTGATGATCAACTGGCGTTAACCCAAAAAGGGAGACAACCAGACATGTGACTTCTCGTGAACATACACAGTACAGCCTATAAACCGTACTTGCTAAAAAATCAGTCTGAATCTGATCAAGATCCTAGCACTAACTACTCATTAATAGGAGGTCAGAGAAACATCTTCAAAGACACCAAGGGGGTGGAATCAGATTTCCACGGTGTGGGAGACACTCATGATCAAGTGACCCAGTTTTCAACAAAATAATTGCAAAGTAGAGAGACTGAGAGAGCAAAACTGAGAGACAGAAAGAGACGGTCAGGACGGAGGGAGAGGAAGAGGGAAAGAGAAATAATCACCAATTAAAAGAGGACACAATACAAGCTATATCAACCAATCAAATTGTAAAGACCTTATTTGGATACAGATCCAGACAGAGGAAACAATTTTAACATGTCCGAAACAACTGGAAATTGGAAACTTACTGTATATTTCATAATATTAAAGAATTATTGTAATTTATAGATATAATAGCATTCTGATTATGATTTTTAAAAGTCATCATTTTTTAGAAATAAACTTCCATAAATATTTATGAATAAAGTTATATGATGTCTAGTATTTGCTTCAAAATAATAAAGGGAGAGGGGAAGCAATTAGGTATATAGATAAAACAGGGTTGACCATTAATAAATCATTGTTGAAATTATGATAAATGACATTTGCTATATAGAGTTGCTATGAGTCGGAATCAACTTGACAGCAGCGAGTTTGGTTTTGGGCTTATATACGGTCCCTGAGTGGCGCAAACCGTTTGCACTTAACTGCTAAAGGTTGATAGTTTGAACCCACCTGGAGGCACTGAGGGAGAAAGGAGCGGTACTACTTTCTAATACGTAGGGTCCCCGTAAGTCGGAATCAACTCAATGACAACAGGTTTTCGTTTTCTTTTTTAGTTTTGGTTTGCTATATACTGTCTACTTTGTATATGTTTAAAATTATCTGTAATACACTGTTTTTTCTCAAACAGATTGGACAGTCCAAGCTACGGCTAAATAAACCCAAAGATTTTAGAGCATTAGTTTATGGAAATCTTTTCCCTGCTATTATGGTAAAACAAAAACCAAACCCATTGCCAACAAGTGGATTCCGACTCATATCGACCCTATGATAGCTTGTTGCAATTACTTAAATGCTCATTGTTTAATTAACTTTTTAAAAAATATCGAGTCAACTGAGTACATGTGTCTGAAAAGTGTTTCATGTGTCTTCTAGGATTGTGGAAAAAGGATATTATAGTGAGCGAGATGCTGCAGATGCTGTTAAACAAATCCTGGAGGCAGTCGCTGTAAGTATAAGTAACAGCGGTGTAACTCTTAGTAATCGTGTCCTTTTACAGAATAATCATTTAAGAAGCATATGTCTGTGATAAGCCATAAAATTTACAGTTAAAGAGTGTGAAATCTTTAGTGAAATATGTGTTGAATACATATAATTTCTACTGATTACTCAAACTCTGAAAGATGCAGTCCTCCTATGTAATGCCGTGATTCTGCGAAAATGATTTCCATTCTATTGTTATGAAACCAAGTCAGACTGGTGCCTTTAGTTGTTCGTTTTCTCTTTCCCATTTCTTGAGTTTGTTTCTTGGCTGTTTTTGTTATTTTTTTAAGTTGGTAGGGAAGTGCAGGAAAGTTGAGTGTGATGAATATAGACCCTTGGAGCATAGAGATTATTGATTTTTTTTCCCAAGACCAGAAATGAGTAAATTAGAAAGAAAAAAACTGAATGTGGCAACTTTATATTTTAAAGGAAAAAAATCTAAGTTAATTTAAACTGGAATACGAGTTTTATCAGTTCATGGTAGAAGCAAACTCACATACATTTAAAAATACATATAATTCTGGGAAACTTGTTTGGATTGAATTAATCAGGAATTACTTGCCTAGATGAAATAGAGTCCACTGTTTAAAACCATCCAATATATTTAATGGTGTCTAATATGTGCTAGGACACATTGGTGATTCATTTATTGAATCTAAAGCCAGAACAAATTGTTCTCTGAACTAACAGGATAGGGCCCGAGGGGAGATGTTTATCAGGATCAGGTAAAGAGACACATTTATAAAATATGCCTAATACTAAGATGTATTCTATTATTCAGAGTCAATCACCTAAATAAAAATCATTATTCAATATCTTGAGAAATCAGCCACAATGACAGGAGCCCATGTTACTATGAGTTTTACCCACAGCAAAGACAAGAAAGAAGGAATGAAGGAAGTAGGGAGGATGGGAGGGACCAAAGAGGGAGGGAGGGAAGGAAGGCGAGCAGGAAGGGCCCTGATAACTAATTAGGTTATCTACCTGTGATAAAAAGAAAAAACAATCTTCACAATCTTTGCATAGGGCTGCTAGAAATAGCAAGCAGATCTGTGGTCGAATAAAATCCTTTATCGAGTTATCAACACTGAGTTCAATTGGCTTTTATAGTGCATAAATTATTCCTTCCTGTAAGTTTTTAGGTCTTTTTGCTATGATGAGGGAGGAAAAAAATTGAAATGGAGATAAATAAAAGCTGGAAAGGATGCTGTGAAATTTTACTCTAAATACGCAACACAGCTACTGATTGTATGAATATTGAATATCAAATTTTTCTTCTCATTGTACCCCAAATAGCCATTCCATTTCAGATTTTTCATCACACATGGCATATTTACCATCCCTGGCATCCTAGTCTTGCAGACTTGGAAAAAGGTTTTTAATTCTCCAGACCCCTTCTCTCCTCACATCACCTTCTCTACATCAGTTGAATCTTACTTCAGCTGAACCTAACCCTACTCCCCATCATGCAATGACTGTTTCTGGCCTTTTTTTTTTTTTTTTTTTAA